CGCCCCGCCCGACTGGAGAGGAACGGGTTTCCGCGGTCCTAGCTGCAGCATCCTGGAGGCACGCCCGCGCCGCGCTCCCCGCGCTCGCTGGACCAGGCCGTCCGTCGGGCGCTTCGTGGATCGCGGTCCCGTCAGAAAACCTATTATATGCATCGATATGGGGGTGTCGTTCGGCAAGAGTCCGTGTCCTCGCGCGGTCAAGCCCGGGCCGACATATGTGCGCGCTCTCGATGTCGCTGTAGCGCTTGTCACAGCGGTGCTTCCCATGCATGTGTGTTTGCTGCTGCTGCTGCCGCTGCTGGTATGAGCCGTGCGAGGAGGGCGGTCGCGCTGTGCCGCGCGCAGCCGTGCGTGCGGGCTGCCTACCCTCCCGGAGCACGCGGCTCGCACGGCCTCGCGCAGTACCGCCTAGCTTCAAGCGGTGGGTCGTCGCGAGGCGCCCCTGCGAGTGCGATCGCTGCGACAGCCCTTTCTAACTCTCCGCCCGCCCCCTCCCTCTGCCCGCAGGTGGTGCACCTGAGACAGCGCCTCGACAACACCGTCACCTCGTCGAGGGACCGCGCCCTGCCCATCGACGCCTCCCTCACCATGATCCACGCGCTCATCGACTGCGACGAGTTCCAGGACATTGCCACGCTCAGGGTGAGTAAAATACCGTGCGGTGCGGGTCCGCTACAGCACCACACCACATGTGTCGCGCAGGGAATGACCGTGCTCACGTTTGCTCCCTTTGTTTCGGCGCGCAGAATTTGGACGAGCTGCTGGATCATAAAACGGACCTGTCGGACAAGCTGATGCAGATCGGCGACTCAATAGTGTACAAACTGGTTCAGTGGACGAAGCGCCTACCGTTCTACCTCGAGCTGCCCGTGGAGGTGAGTGCATTCCAACAGTAATCTTGTGGCGCAATGTCAAAGTACATTTTCCAAAATTGCTGACATTTTTATTTTAAAAAGGCAACTATCGACGAGTGTCCTATGTGAGCCAAAATGTTAATTGTGTTTGTGTCTTTTGCAGGTGCACACGCGGCTGCTGACCCACAAGTGGCACGAGCTGCTCGTGCTCACCACCTCGGCCTACCAGGCCATCCACGGCGCGCACAAGCTCGGCTCCACCTCGAGCGACGGCACCGAGGCCGACTTCACCCAGGAGGTGTCCAACAACCTGTGCACGCTGCAGACGTGCCTCACCTCCATGATGGGCAGGCCCATCACCATGGACCAGCTCCGGCAGGACGTGGGGCCCATGGTGGAGAAGATCACCCACGTCACGCTCATGTTCAGGAGGATCAAGCTGCGCGTGGAGGAGTACGTGTGCCTCAAAGTCATCATCATGCTCAACCCATGTGAGTACCGGCCCGGGCTGCCCCCCCCCCCCCACCTTTGTCCAATTCTTTCGACCTAGTTGGTGGAATGAACGTAGCCATCAGCTCTACAATCGGACGGGCCTATAAAGGGTTG